CATGAGAAAAGATATGGAAATTAAAAATGACATAGTAGAAATAAAAAACACATTGGAAGCAATGAACAGGTTCCGGGAAAGTGAGGATCAGATCAGTGAATTAGAAGACAGGGTAGAAAAAAATCACTCAGAGAACCAAAAAGAAAAAATAATTAAAAACCAGGAGGACAGTTTAAAGGAGCTGTGGAACAACATGAAATGTAACAACATTCACATCATAGGAGTGCCAGAAGATGTAGAAAGAGTGCAAATGATAAAGAACCTGTTAGAAGAATAATGGCAGAAAACTTCTCTAACCTTGTCAAGGAAAAAGTCACACAAGTTCAGGAAGCACAGAGAGTCCCAAGTCAGAAGAGCCCAAAGAGGCCCATTCCAAGATACATCATAATTAAAATGCCAAAAATCCAAGACAAAGAGAGAATCTTAAAGACAGTGAGAGAAAAGCAATCTGTTACCTACAAAGGAGCTCCCATAAGCTTTCAGCTGATTTCTCATCAGAAACTCTACAGGCCAGAGGGAATGGCCTGAAGTATTCAAGGTAATGCAAAGCAAGGATCTGAAACCAAGACTACTCTATCCAGCAAGGCTATCATTCAAGATAGATGGTGAAATATAGAGCTTCCTAGACAAAAAAAAAAAAAAAAGCTAAAGGACTTTATCACCATGAAACCAGCATGGCAGGAAATGGTAAATGGGCTGCTGTAATAAGAAGTTGAAATAGAGAGAGAAAAACACAGGCATAAAGAATTAAAATGGCAATACACAAGTACCATGGCAATGTAAATGGATTAAATGTCCCAATCAAAAGACATAAGGTAGCTGAATGGATAAGAAAATAAGACCCAAAAATCTGCTCTCTACAAGAGACTCACCTCAGAACAGAACAGTCACACAGGCTGAGAGTGAGGGGATGGAAAAAACATTTTCCATGCAAAGGGAAATGGAAAAAAAACACAAAAAAACCTGGGGTAGCAATACTCATCTCTGACAAAATAGATTCAAAATGAAGGCCATAACAAGAGTCAATAAAAGTCACTACATAATACTAAAGGAATCGATCCAACAAGAGGCCATACCCCTGGTAAACATATATGCACCCAATATAGGAGCACCTAAATATATATTAAAAAAAACAAACTTCTGGAGGACTTTAAGGGAAAGACTGACAGCAATACAGCCACAGTAGGGGCCTTTAACACACCACTGACTTCACTGGATAGATCTTCCAGACAAAAAATCAATAAGGAAACAGTGACTCTNGAAGCACAGAGAGTCCCAAGTCAGAAGAGCCCAAAGAGGCCCATTCCAAGATACATCATAATTAAAATGCCAAAAATCCAAGACAAAGAGAGAATCTTAAAGACAGTGAGAGAAAAGCAATCTGTTACCTACAAAGGAGCTCCCATAAGCTTTCAGCTGATTTCTCATCAGAAACTCTACAGGCCAGAGGGAATGGCCTGAAGTATTCAAGGTAATGCAAAGCAAGGATCTGAAACCAAGACTACTCTATCCAGCAAGGCTATCATTCAAGATAGATGGTGAAATATAGAGCTTCCTAGACAAAAAAAAAAAAAAAAGCTAAAGGACTTTATCACCATGAAACCAGCATGGCAGGAAATGGTAAATGGGCTGCTGTAATAAGAAGTTGAAATAGAGAGAGAAAAACACAGGCATAAAGAATTAAAATGGCAATACACAAGTACCATGGCAATGTAAATGGATTAAATGTCCCAATCAAAAGACATAAGGTAGCTGAATGGATAAGAAAATAAGACCCAAAAATCTGCTCTCTACAAGAGACTCACCTCAGAACAGAACAGTCACACAGGCTGAGAGTGAGGGGATGGAAAAAACATTTTCCATGCAAAGGGAAATGGAAAAAAAACACAAAAAAACCTGGGGTAGCAATACTCATCTCTGACAAAATAGATTCAAAATGAAGGCCATAACAAGAGTCAATAAAAGTCACTACATAATACTAAAGGAATCGATCCAACAAGAGGCCATACCCCTGGTAAACATATATGCACCCAATATAGGAGCACCTAAATATATATTAAAAAAAACAAACTTCTGGAGGACTTTAAGGGAAAGACTGACAGCAATACAGCCACAGTAGGGGCCTTTAACACACCACTGACTTCACTGGATAGATCTTCCAGACAAAAAATCAATAAGGAAACAGTGACTCTAAATGACACACTAGATCAGATGGATTTAATTGACGTTTACAGAACATTCCACCCCAAAGCTGCATAATAGGCATTCTCCTCAAGTGCACATGGGACATTCTCAAAGACAGACCACATGTTGGGACACAAAACAAGTCTCTACAAGTTCAAGAAGACTGAAATCATATCAAGCATCTCCACAGATACACTGCTGGTGGGAATGCAGTCTGCTGTAGCCACTGTGGAAAACAGTGTGGAGTTTCCTCAAAATGTTAAATATGGAACTCCCATTTGACCCAGTGGCCCCACTTCTAGGAATATACCCTAAGAAACCCAAAACACCAATCAGAAAGAATNGCAGGAAATGGTAAATGGGCTGCTGTAATAAGAAGTTGAAATAGAGAGAGAAAAACACAGGCATAAAGAATTAAAATGGCAATACACAAGTACCATGGCAATGTAAATGGATTAAATGTCCCAATCAAAAGACATAAGGTAGCTGAATGGATAAGAAAATAAGACCCAAAAATCTGCTCTCTACAAGAGACTCACCTCAGAACAGAACAGTCACACAGGCTGAGAGTGAGGGGATGGAAAAAACATTTTCCATGCAAAGGGAAATGGAAAAAAAACACAAAAAAACCTGGGGTAGCAATACTCATCTCTGACAAAATAGATTCAAAATGAAGGCCATAACAAGAGTCAATAAAAGTCACTACATAATACTAAAGGAATCGATCCAACAAGAGGCCATACCCCTGGTAAACATATATGCACCCAATATAGGAGCACCTAAATATATATTAAAAAAAACAAACTTCTGGAGGACTTTAAGGGAAAGACTGACAGCAATACAGCCACAGTAGGGGCCTTTAACACACCACTGACTTCACTGGATAGATCTTCCAGACAAAAAATCAATAAGGAAACAGTGACTCTAAATGACACACTAGATCAGATGGATTTAATTGACGTTTACAGAACATTCCACCCCAAAGCTGCATAATAGGCATTCTCCTCAAGTGCACATGGGACATTCTCAAAGACAGACCACATGTTGGGACACAAAACAAGTCTCTACAAGTTCAAGAAGACTGAAATCATATCAAGCATCTCCACAGATACACTGCTGGTGGGAATGCAGTCTGCTGTAGCCACTGTGGAAAACAGTGTGGAGTTTCCTCAAAATGTTAAATATGGAACTCCCATTTGACCCAGTGGCCCCACTTCTAGGAATATACCCTAAGAAACCCAAAACACCAATCAGAAAGAATTCATGCACCCTTATGTTCATAGCAGTGCAGTTCACAATAGCCCCAGTGCCTGTCAGTAGATGAGTGGATAAAAAGCTGGGGGACATTCACACCAGGGATACTATGCAGCTGTAAAGAAGAAGGATCTCGTGCCCTTTGGGACAGCCTGGAGGGACCTGGAGAGTGTTATGCTAAGTGAAATAAGCCAGGCAGAGAANTAAGACCCAAAAATCTGCTCTCTACAAGAGACTCACCTCAGAACAGAACAGTCACACAGGCTGAGAGTGAGGGGATGGAAAAAACATTTTCCATGCAAAGGGAAATGGAAAAAAAACACAAAAAAACCTGGGGTAGCAATACTCATCTCTGACAAAATAGATTCAAAATGAAGGCCATAACAAGAGTCAATAAAAGTCACTACATAATACTAAAGGAATCGATCCAACAAGAGGCCATACCCCTGGTAAACATATATGCACCCAATATAGGAGCACCTAAATATATATTAAAAAAAACAAACTTCTGGAGGACTTTAAGGGAAAGACTGACAGCAATACAGCCACAGTAGGGGCCTTTAACACACCACTGACTTCACTGGATAGATCTTCCAGACAAAAAATCAATAAGGAAACAGTGACTCTAAATGACACACTAGATCAGATGGATTTAATTGACGTTTACAGAACATTCCACCCCAAAGCTGCATAATAGGCATTCTCCTCAAGTGCACATGGGACATTCTCAAAGACAGACCACATGTTGGGACACAAAACAAGTCTCTACAAGTTCAAGAAGACTGAAATCATATCAAGCATCTCCACAGATACACTGCTGGTGGGAATGCAGTCTGCTGTAGCCACTGTGGAAAACAGTGTGGAGTTTCCTCAAAATGTTAAATATGGAACTCCCATTTGACCCAGTGGCCCCACTTCTAGGAATATACCCTAAGAAACCCAAAACACCAATCAGAAAGAATTCATGCACCCTTATGTTCATAGCAGTGCAGTTCACAATAGCCCCAGTGCCTGTCAGTAGATGAGTGGATAAAAAGCTGGGGGACATTCACACCAGGGATACTATGCAGCTGTAAAGAAGAAGGATCTCGTGCCCTTTGGGACAGCCTGGAGGGACCTGGAGAGTGTTATGCTAAGTGAAATAAGCCAGGCAGAGAAAGACAAGTGTCACATGATCTCACTCATATGTGGAATCTAATGAACAAAATAAACTGATGAACAAAATAGGTCCAGAGACAGAGAAGCATGGAACAGACTGAGGGATCTCAGAGGGAAGGTGGGGGTAGGTGGGTGGGTGGGGAGAGATTAACATAAGAACTTAGATGCTTATATGCATAACCCATGGACACAGACAATAGTGGGGTGAAGGCCTGGTGGGTGGGGAGTGCGGAGTGGAGGGTATCAATGGGGGAAAAAGGGAACATCTGTAGTACTTTCAACATAAAGATGAATTTTAAAGAAAGGGAGGGAGGAAGGGAGTGGGGGAAGGGAAAGAATTATTCCAATTGACCATAACATGCATTTTCTAGGAGGTCTGAAACGCCCACTGGGAATACATTTCCTCATGCCTCAGGCCCCGGCCAGTCCAGCAGGCCAGGCAGAGTGTGTTCTGAGAAGGACAGCGAGCTCAGGGTTTCTTCCCGCTCCAGCTCTCCCTCCTCGGTATAGATGTGAGGCAGGTACCCGGTGTTCTCGGCCAGTGTGTTGAGGCCACAGAACTTCTGGGGGAAAGCCAGGGAAACAGGAGGTCAATGCCAGGTTCTTCCCCACATGGTCCCTTTTCTCCCAGCTCCATTGAGAAATGCCTCAATGCAGCAGTAACGATGGGCTGTCCCTCTGTCCCCACCCATCACAGAAGGTGCTACCGACTCAGGAATGGCAGCCAACTGAGAGGAAAGTAGCACCTTCCCACTTCCCAGCTAATTCCTAGGAGGAAGTATGACGCAGTTGGTACAGACTCTAGGTAGTGCCTCCCCCCATTCCCCACACGCCCTCTTATGGATTTATTTTGGGGGGTTAATCCCTCCACCATCTGTGCCCTGACACCTGCTGTTCCCTTCCTGAATGACCATCCCCACCTGCCAACCTCTCAGCAAACTCCAGCTCGTGCTTCAGGGCCCAAGTCATCTCTCTGTGAAGACTTTTCTGCTTTTTTTTGGTCTGAGTGACTCAATAAATGTTTGTTGGATGGATGGATGGATGGATGGATGGATGGATGGATGGATGGATGGAGAGATGGACAGGATTAAAGAGCTTCCTCCTATTTACCTTCAGATACCTCTGGGATGGGCTGTTGCAAATCTGAACCAGTTACCTCACCTCACGGCAATGGGTTTAGCAAGAATCTTCCAACCATCACTAGCTGACAGTGGTCACTGAGGGGGTGAGCTCGTCAGCGGCATGAAGACACTCAGAATCAAAGGTCTCAGAGCTGGAGGAGGCAGGAGGTGGGGGCAAGGCCTGGAAAGAGGAAGCCAAGAAGCCCCGGGGACCACCGAGCTCTCACTGTGCCCTTCCCTGGATCAGGCAGTTGCCTGTCCCCACCTTCCTCTGGCTGGCAGGAGCCACTCCTAGGCTCTCTGTTTAACTGGAAACACGATCTTCTGGCCCTGTGTCTACTGGTGCCCCAGGGAAACATGGGACCCTCACCCACTCATCTGCCTGTTGCTGGGTCCACTCATTCAGGGACTGTAGTCACTGTGAAGCAATATGCCGGGGGGG